AAACCAAAAGATAAGCTACTAATTTTGGTTTTACGTTGTATCTTCTGATAATCCATGGCTTGCGTTGTGTACTGCTATATTCTCGGATAGCTGTCGAGTGTTCATCGAGTCATGTGGCTGGATTGGTCTGATTCTTCGTCAAATAGTGGAGGATTGATTATATTTCCTCGAAGGGATTCGTAGACATCTCAATGCTGTGAATATTGGGAGAAAAGAGAGACATTTTTAACTTTTGAGCAGTACTGATAGAATGCTACACAAAATTAATGCATGCACAAGTTGCTATTTTAAATGTGGATTCTTTTGAACCGCTAAGGTCCTTTCTTCCACCTTTCCAGAGAAGAAAAGGGAGAATTCTGATTCTGATTCCGTAGAATTACAAGGGTCCCAGCTGAGCCGGTTGTAGCGCAATTATGACTTGTTTTTCTTCTCCCTTTTTCTTACAAAAATACAAAGCTTTTGAAAAATAAAAATAAAAAAATCAATAAAGTATTAATACTGTTATACTTCTCTCTCGATTCAATAATTACACGTCCTTTACACGATACATTACATATTTTAATTAATCAGTAGTTTGTTTTATAGTTAGATTAGAATTTCGTTCACTAGGGTAGGTATAGAGATTAAAAAATCTATGCTTTTAATTTGTTTCTAATTTAATAAATAAACCGCATAACTTTGAAGGAACACCTCTTATGGAATTGAGAGAGAACATTATTTCATTAAAAAACATTACTCATTGTCTAATGACAATCAACATTAGTGGGTCTTAATTCGGTTTTTAGGACAATACTTGAAGATATAGTGAAAAGAACAAGTTCGATTGTGCTTTGTAATATTTTGCGATTTCTTAGAGGTCCCCTGTAAGAAACTGTAAAATCACGAGAAGACCTGGAGAAAACCCTTCCACGTTAATGAAAACATTATTAAAACTCCATTTTCCATCTTAAATGTCCTTATTTAGTATAGGAAAAGGAATAGTTAACTTAAAAACTTAAAAATTAGGGGGGGGGGATTAAAAAAAATGATATGATTATTTATTCATGCATGAACAAAATTAAATTTATTATTTAATTTTGATCAATCCTTTTGAGTTACTTTTTAAATATTATTTCTCTAATTTTTAAAGTTTTTAAATTTATCTATTTGGTTCTGAAGAAGACTCCCTCCATCCCGCAACTTACAAAAAAAAAAAAAACACAAATTTTTAGGAAACATCAATTAATTTATTAATTAATATCAACTATAATGTGTTTGGGCTAAAAAAACACATGCCAACGTAGATAGAAAACGTTCACGCGGAATAAAGAGGCATAGTATTTACCTAACAGCTGCCGTTTTTGTAGAAGAAAATACAAAGAGAGTGATTGACCTGTCGGGCTCCATTGCACCGTAGAATTGAAAGTGTATGTTACAATCTATGCACAGAACCAACTGACTGAAGTGATTAGGATTCCAGCTGAGGCTTGACATTAATTAGTAGGAAATATCTGCAATGAAAATTCTCCTCAAAATACTTAAAATACAAGAATTAATTTAACTCTTAAAATTAAATTTTGTTTCAAGAATACTAAATAGCCTCTAACATAAAATCTAAGTCGAAAATTGAGAGTAATTATTAACGATGGTTTCAATAATTTTTTCATTTTATATAGCAGAATATTTTTCTTTCTAAAATAAATGACTTGAGTATTAATATAATGTACAAATTTCAAATAGATTAATGAAGTGGAATGCCCTTTTTTTAACACATGATAAGTGTATTTAATGTATTCATCAAATATTATCTAAATTATAGTTTTAAAATCTGGTTTGGTTTGACAAATATATTTAAGGTTGAAATAAAACTATATTAAAAAAATAAAAAAATTAATATATTCTAGTTTATCTAGCAAGATAACATGATAAAATCCGATAATTAAATAACTTGGACCTTAATATAATGTATAAATTTCAATTTTATTATTTAACAGCGCAAACTTTTTTTTTTCTAATCAAGTGTTTTTTGAGATAATGTGAAATACGTGCTGACATGATAATTAAATTGAGACGTTAATATGATGACAGGTCCGCACACTTGAATGAACATTTCACTTTATTTTTAATTGAGTGTAGATACTTTTATTTCTTTCTATTTAAGTGCATGTATTTTTATTCTTTTAATTTGAGTGTCTGTATTCTTTAAAACTTACAAAGGAGTGCTATTAGTTTTAAAATCTAATAAATTTCTATTCAATTGCTTAAATTTTTATTAAATAAGGTTTTAAAATATAATTTATATAATTTCTAACATATTTTTTTAAGTAAAAGATTTTTAGGCTAGAAATTTGTATAGGAACACATTACCTTATATTTAATTTTTATTAATTAAAAAAAAGATGATGAAATTTAAATTCATGACTGCTTGATTATTAAAACTCTGATACCATATTAAGAAACTATATATACCTAATAGCTTAAATTATTAAGTAATATACCAAGGTATAATTTATATAATTCTCTAATAATCTAACAACTTAAATTTTTAAGTTGATATGATTATTTAGTAAGATATCAAGACTTTAATGACCATGAGTTCAAATTTTATTATTACATTCTAATTAATAAAAAAATTAAATATAAATATCTATAAATTTTATAGTAGAAAATAAAATAAAATTATCTTTCAAAACTCAAGCTATTAGCTAAATAACTTTAATAGCGGGTAAATGTTATCACTTTTTCTTCAAAATTCTAGTCATATAATTTTAGTCTTATTTATTTTTATGTTTTAAAAGCATTTTAAAAAAAATTAAAATTTATTTTCTTTATTTTAAATTAATATTTTTTTAATAATTTTAAATTATTTCAATACGCTAATATAAAAACTAATTTTTAAAAAATAAAAAAAATATTATTTTAATATATTTTTAAATAAAAAAATATTTAAAAAAAAACCATAATCACTACTTTTACCGAGCGGTTTAACATCTTCTCCTAGGGTTTTCTAGCAGTCAACTTGCACATGCGCAATCATCGGAGGTGAAATGGGGTTGAACAAATTTTCCGAGGTAGGATCTTTTCTAGTTTCTTTTTTCGATATTTTTTAAGGTGCATCCCAAAAGTAGCTTTGTGACAAGACCGAATCATTAAATAATGCGATGTATCGAGGGAAATTGAGATTGCCTGACATGAGGTTTCGCTGATTTTGATAGGATTTCTTCCTTGAATTCAGACCTTGAATTTACCTTCAGTTGGCCAGAGGAGACCTCATCGATACCAGGTTTTATATATATATAAAGCTAAAGTATACCATTTCAACTGATCCACGTTGTAATTCTTAAAACAATTATTTCAATTTAAACAATTAAATAACATTTTAAAATATATTTTATATTATTTTTTAATATATCTTTTCATGTAATTTTTTTTTTAATTTTTTTAATTTGTATATGATCATATTATTTTATGTTTAATTTTTATAAAATAAAATAAAATAGTTAAATTTAAATTTTTAATTACTTGATCAATAAAATTCTAATATTATATAAAAAATTATTTTAATTTAATAACTTAAATAATTATTATATAAAATTTTAAAATATAATTTATATTATTTTTAATAAGAAACATCTTTCCAGGAAACATTGTAACATCTTGTCATTTATAAACATAATACGTTGTTTTTACTTTGTTTTTTTGAGAATATGAGTCATTCTTGCCATAATAAATGATATACTCAGACATGTATAATAATAACATTTTCTTATGCTTGCTCATAGCTTAAAAACCCTCTTAACCAAGTAAAAACCAATAAACATAGGAAGATTTTTTAATTTTTTTTTTTATATGATGATACATTCATTTGAATCATAAATTTTTAATGTTCTACAAATTGAGGAGAAAGTTATAACACTTTTTAGTTAATTGAAAGAAATTAATTAAAACATGTCCTATATTATGTATAATGGCGGGGCCATAGTTTTTTAATGAGGGGGTAAATTATTAACGAATATTATATTATATAGATACGTATTAAAAATCAATTAAAAATATATATACTAATTTATATCAATTAAAATTTATTTAAAAATACTTTGAAACTGAAAAAAATTTACATTATAATTGTTTTCTTCGAATTTTCATATTTTGAAACCGCTTCATAATAGCTTCATTATCAATCTTATCAAAAATATCTTTCTCAAGGTATACAACCAAACTATCATTCATCCACTTATCTCCCATCCTATTCCGCAATATACTCTTGACAATATGTATAGCAGAAAAAACTCTCTCCACTATAGTAGTTGTAACTGGTGAAAGTAATGACAATTTGATAAGCATATATACTAATGGAAATATCAAATTCTGCTTTGTTTTTACCATTTTCTCTACAAGACTAGCAATACCTTCAATACTAGAGAACTCATCATCATCACGTAGATCAATAATATATGTATCAAGTTGATCACTAAGTACCATAAGGTCCACTATAAAGAATTCACTCGGATAAAAAAGAACAAGGCAAAGAAGCTTTTCTTTGTTAAAATGCTATAAAGAATTCACTAGGATAAAAAAGAGCAAGGCAGAGAAGCTTTTCTTTGTTAAAAGTAAAAAAAAAGTTACTTGGATTTAAACATGCCACACAAAGAAGTAACTTTGTACTTATCTTAGTAAAACGATTATCCAACTCAGTAAATTGCTTGTCAATGATCTTGTTAAACAATTCATAACGGAAATGGTGTAGGTTTATAATCCCTTGAGATTTTCACCTTGAACGTCCACGAAGCTTGTACTCATCATCCATGTTTAGAATATCAATATCATGTTTGATGCAAAAAGATGACACTTTTTCCATTAAAGATTCCCAATCATTCTCTCTTATTATTTTGAATCGTTCTTTTGATGTTTTCAATAAACTCATAACATTTTATATATCTTGATCTTTTCTTTGTAATACTTGTGAGAATTCATTAGTAACTGCTAGTATCCTTCTCAAATAATGAAGCATGAATACAAAATTAAATGATTCCATAATATCTGTTAAAACGACTGCTTCTGTTCTTTGTTCTGAGTTCATCCCATCCTCCCTTATAATCTCAAGCACATCAAGAACTGATGAAAACATTACAAGTAGATGAATAATTGTAACATGGTGGGAGCTTCAACGAGTATCACCATACCTTCTAAGAGAAGTTTCTTAATTCAAGCCTCGTCTACTAGAAATTTCTCCATTTTCAAGTCCTTCAATAATTATAGCATATTTTTTTTCTCTAATCACCTCTATACTTTTGCATGATGCTCCAACTATGTTTATAATGCTAGAAATAAAATTGAAGACATCTCCAACTTTATTATGCTTATTTGTAACAACCATAAAATTTAATTGAAGTTTGTGAGCAAAACAATGTATATATTATGCACTTGAATTGCTATTTAGAATAAGTGCTTTCAAGCTATTGAATTCACCTTGTACGTTACTAGCTCCATTATATCCCTAACCAGGTAATCTTGATATGTTTAGTCCATGTTTAGAAAACAAACCTTCAATAGCTGTCTTGAGTGAACTAGCAGTTGTATCTCGCACATGTTGAATACGAAGAAAACATTTAATTATATATCCATTGTTGTCTACATATCGTAAAACAACAACCATTTGTTCCTTGATTGATACGTCACGTGACTCATCAATTAAAATTGAAAATAATAAGTCACCTAGATTTTTTATAATCATATTTATAATCTCCTCTGCATCAGCTTGAGTAATGTCTTTTTGAATATCTGGAGACGTCAATTTGTTATGTCTAGGAGCTTCACTAAAAGTAACACTTTTAATAGCTTTATTATTTCTGAAAAGAAATGCAAGAGCTCTAGATAATTTCTTTGATTGCTTGAACATTCATATTCATCATGGCCACAAAATGGAAGTCCTTGGTGCAACAAAAAACAAGCACACTTTATTGAAGCGTTCAATCGAGTTCGATAATCACTTTGACTCTTTATTGTCTGCTCATATAACAGAGTAATGATATTTTACTTTTCATTCATCAAATTCTCACATTTTATCTGAGCTGCATTATGACAATTATTAGAATTTCCAATATGAAGATCAAATCTTTTTTTTTTCCAATTTAAAAACCCTTCACCCACAAAGGAATCAACACCCCCTTTTGACTTGAAGAGATAACAACACAAGCAAAAGGCAGCATTTTTGGCTATGTTGTACTCTAACCATGTTAGGTATGCACCAAACCAAGCTGGATTAAAGCGTTGTAATGTTGATATATTCCTAAATTGTTTTTGAGAAAAATCACAGTGTGAAGGTTGACAAGAACCTTTTCGTAGATAAGCTCTTCGGATTGCATCCCTATCATTTATATGATATTCATAAATTGGTCTTCTTAAGCCAGGGTTAGCAAAGAGAGTGTTAGGGTTGATTTCAATATGACTTTTCTTTGAACTTAATTGAGTTACATGACTTGAAGCTTTGATTGACTTTTCATCCTCAGGGGATTTACGCTTGAAATACTTGTCTAGTGATATGTTAATTTAATATAAACCTGCTAGATTTTTTTTTATCATCATTAGTGTCTATATAATAACTAACATAACTACACAATAATTCACTGTTAAATAAAAATTAGTTAAGTTACACAATAATTCTAAATCTTTCATATGAAATTCATAGCAAAATACACATCAATTCATCAAAATCAAAACCCATTTCAATTCATATCTATATACATACAATAAGTATGTTGATTAAATTATACTTAATTATTTCTATATATTTAATTAAGGAGAAATGCCTAGTACATGTGTAAGAGGAACAATTCTTGAAAAACATACTTTCTACTTGATATTTTACTTACAAACAAGTCATATGAAAATATTAAATTTCAATAAACTACTCTACCAATGTAAGAGATGTCAATAATAGTGGTTTTACATGAATATTAATTTATTCCTTTATAATAAGAAAAGAAACATTTAATTGATTAAATTAGTAGATTTAAACATTTATTTTGAACATATTCATATCAAAACCCCTAAATTATCATAAACCCTAATATTTTTAGTAAATAATTATAAAAGAATAAAATTTAAAATTAAAAAATGAAATAAATAGAAAAATAAAAATTTTTTACCTAAAATATAAAGCAAAAGGCAAAAAAAATAATTGCTTAATTATACTTAATGAGAAATTTGCATACCAGAGAAACAAAGAATAGCAGCTCATGAAAAGAATAAAGCAACACAGCAGCTCATGAAAAGAACAAAGCGGTAAAGATAGGGAACAAAAAATACTCTTTGTCAATAAAGGAATTCTATATTTTTAAGATTATAGCATTGATTTAATATAAAATAAAAAGGGAAAGGGAAAGGGAAAAATTTATGAATGAAATGTTAATATATATATTATATTATATATCAAAAGAAAAAAAATTATTGAATGAGGTGTGCATATATATTATATTATATTATATTAATGTATAAATCAACAAATATAAATAATTACAATTTCTCTTTTTCCTTCCCTTGCAGAAAGAATTTCCTAAACTAATATATTAATATTAAAAAAAAATTAAGGGGACAATTATCCTTTTTTGTCTCTTAGTAACTATGCCATAGACTTTAACCAATATAATATTAAAAGAGTGACGACTAAAAATAATAATATATTTTTCAAAAACAATTCTTTATCAAATTATCTAGTTTATTTTTTGGTAGAGTTCATTGATTCTAGAGTGAGCATCATTTGAAAATGGAATTAAATTCTAAATTGAGAAGATCATTTCTCCAAAAAGTTGAGATCATATATATATATATATATAGTTTCAAATTTTAAAGTTAGTGCAAATAAGATTTTATTAGATTTCTAGGAGTCAATCATTGAGAGATGTTTTTTTAAAATATTTTTTTAATATCAATAATGCAAAACGACCCTCGTTAAAAAAAAAAAAAAAAAACCACCATCGAGGGAATCATTGTTCAATAAATAACTAGGTATAGTTTTGAAGGAGAACTACAGGGCCAGCTTGAAGCCCGCGTGTCTAGGCCACAACACAATAATAAGTTATTCGGACCAAAACCAGGCGCTTAACAAGTAAAGCCCATTTAACACCTAAAAACATTACACAAGGTGTGTCTATCGTCTTCTCCAAGCCCTCGCATGGGTGACTTACAAACCCACCTTGCCTCTCCAATTTTCTAAAAAATTTAGGATTTAAAAGCAAAAAATAAATAATGGGATTGACGAACTTGATTATAACAGTAGCTGGTGTAAGTGCTGTGATTCTTCTACTAAGGAGCGATGTGAAGCAATCTGCTGCTGTCTTTAGACGCAACGTCAAGCATATCCGCCACTGGCTCGAAGAAGAATCCGCCGCTGCCTCCAAGTGAGCTCTCCCCTTATGTCTCTATGAGTAGAAGTGATTATGATGTTTTTTAGAATTTGTAGTAAAGCGTGATGGTCATTATTGATATTTATTAAATCGAATGATTTCTGATTCTGACGGGTTTAGTTCGCTGGTTCTTGGGTTGTTTATAGTATCCTTTATCTAGGAATCTAAATTAAGGAATTGGGTCTTTTTTATTTTTCGCATTGAGGATGTTTAGGTTGGACATGTTCAGCTAAAAATTTGATGGACTGAACTGTAACAAAATTACGTTCATTTTTGCCATCAAGAATTTCAATATCAGATTTGGAAAGAAACATTTAATTAATTGGGTGTGATTGTTTGTGTGTGATTCTCAAATAGCGTTTGGTTACTGGCTCGGAAAACTTATACTTCTTGTTTTGATAGTATAGAAATACATTCTAAAACTGCCTTGGAAATAGAGAGATGGAGATAGTAGGGATGGAGGAGACCTGTGCTTCCTATTTTGATAGGATAGAAATTCACTTTAAAACTGTCTTAGAAACATATTTATTTTAGGTCTTTGTTTCTGTCTTTCAACCAAACACATTTCTATCTTGTTTTTATTTGTCTCTCACATTCAAAGTCACTAACCAGACACAACCTTAGTGATTTATTTTTGAGATATAAAATTGGTTTTCTAACATAAATTTGAGTCTAGCATTGGGTTAATTAACTTAAGGTATTTTTGTTGTAATGTTAAACAAGTTTAGGATAGTAAATCAGTTGGTGCTTATGGACTTGAAGTGGGAATTGGATGGTCACTTCAATGAGCCTGGTCGGCATCTTTTCATAACTCTTGCCCTTCCTTGATCTAGGAATTTAAATTAAGGAATTGGGTCTTTCTCATTTTTCACATTGAGGATGTTTAGGTTGGATTACTATTAAGAATTTCAATATCAGTTTCGGAAAGACATGTAATTAATTGGGTGTGATTGTTTGTGTATGATTCTTAAATAGCGTTTGGTTACTGTCTTGGAATATAAAAGATAGAGATATTGAGGATAAAAGGGACATGTATCTCTGTACTTCACGTTTTGAAATTGCTGAAATTCACTCTAAAACTGTCTAGAGATAGATTTATTTTTGGTCTTTGTCACTATCTTTTCAACTGCCCCTTTGTATTTGTCTCTAATATTCAGAGTCACTAGCCAAATGCAACCTTTGTGTTTTATTTTCGAGATATAAAATGGGTTTTCTTGACATAAACTTGAGTCTAGCATTGGGGTAAATAATTTAGGTATTTTTGTTGTAATGTTAAACAAGTTTGGGATAGTAAATCAGCTGGTGCTTATGGGTTTGAAGCCGGTATTGGATAATGACTGCAACAAGCCTGGTCGGCATCTTTCCATAAATCTTGGCCTTCATTTGTTGAAGGCTACAATATTCGTGTTCTGGCTAAGTTATGGAATTGTATTAGATTCTAATGAACAAGTTGCATATTATTCATACATTGCCATTTAGCCTATTTTGATAGCTTGATAATGTCTTTAAACCAAAACTAGATTGTTTCACCATGAGTTTAAAACCTGGATATAAATTGTTGACCAATGCAAAACCTATTATTAGGATTTAGTTGTAGGAAAATTGAACAACTACAAACTGTTGAATCGAGTCCATTCAGTTGGCCTATGTTTACTATCTTGATTGGAGTTTATTCCTCCATTTTCATTACTGAGAATTGGTTGTTGATGTATCTTATTTCAGGGCTGCAAAAGAGGCACCACCTAAGGAACTGGAATCAAAGGTCCCCCACAAGGACATTCCGAAGGAGGATAAGCACTAGTGTCTTATCTCAAGGATATGCTGTTGTTTAAGAGATTTCGTAGTCTTTCCTTTAAATTTCTTGAATATGATGGTT